CAATCACCCCCCGAAATTAATCATGCATCATTGTTGTTATCATATATTTATGTGAATAATCTGAATGTATGTCATAGCAACTTTAGGAATAATTAAAAAGAATTGAACTAGAAATCGTTATTCTTTTGTATAGTGAATTCATTCTCTTTCGTATGTAAACAAAACAATAAGTATTTATTGATTTAATAAAAAAATTAAAACTAATTTTTGTTATATTAGATTACTATTTTTAAACCAAGATCTTAATCATTTCACTATTCGTCAGTTATTATGGGCGTACCTGTATGCATATTTTATTTCGTAAACAAGAAGCTTGATTATTCATATCTCGATTAATTAATTTGAGTATTTATAAAACTATTTTAATATGGTATTTTATGTAGTACAGACTATGAGCTCCATTTCTGCTCATTAATGTTTGTTTCAATTTTTAAGTTTCTTTCAACCAACTATGAATAGGTTATTTAACATTTTGTCAATACTCTCCTGGTTTAGTACTTATCAAGATCTATAAATCATAGTCCGTTTCTAGTCTTCATAAATTAATTAGAACTAGTTCTTAAATAGGCATGAATCACCATATATATTTAATCAAGCAAAATGCCGTACAAGCATAATATGTTAATGAGGTATTTATATTGACTTTGATGATAAATTTAGTTACGAAATGTGAGTTCAAAGTTTCAGCATTTCAACGTATTTGATCCACAGGTTTATAACAAACACCGTCTAAAAATGTAATTAATCTATCGACAGCTGTTATTTTTGAGAAGAAATAATATCTTAATTAACATATACAGTATCACTGTAATCATTCTGACTAATAAATATAATACATTAGCAAGTTTTAGATATAGCATTAGCATTATTTTATGCTAGACGAGAGCAGTATTGATTTCTATTATTTAAAAATTCCCACCTAAAAATGTATCCTCTAAAACGTTCCTATTCTTCCGGAACTTCCTTGATCGTCCAGAATTTCTGTTTCTCACGTAAAACACTCAAAGTATTTCTTCATCTTTCTCACCAATATGTAGTACAGCGATATCGTTCAACGTTCATTCAAGTCATCCTTTCATGCTTATTTTAGAAACTTTTTGTGACGAACAGACTAATTATCATTATTTTTCCGTAATATTGCAAAAAATAATGAGAAGGCAAATTGGATCTGAAAAATGTAGTGCGTTTTATTTACGCATTTCGAATATTCTGACCATATATCCACTTGTCAAGAAAGTTAAACTACGAGTTATTTATTATCAAATTCGGATCCCCTTCATGTATATAAAAACAGTTTGCCATAACCTTGAATCTGCACTAGTAACTTTTAAGGCTTTTTTGATCTAAGGTGGAGGAACTATTTCCTATTCTTTCTACATCACAATAAATTTTTACCTCCTTTACTTACAATTGCCGTCTTATGATTATTTGACCTTTATTTCAAGTGATATTTATTATATGTGATTGTCCCTGAATGAACATCAAATCTATGATGCAGGTACATCCAGTTGACGAGTTCCAAATAAGACGAGACGCGTGTCCTGGATTTCACTGCTAGCCACCATCAATCACTACTTATGATGCGTGTAACTCAAAGCAATATCGAGGGAAACCGCACAGGGTGTACATATGCCAATAAGAGACTGATCAATTATAGTCCTAAACATCAATGAAAAGATTCAAACAACCAATACAAAAGTGAATTGACATTCACTAGTTTTAATGAATGCCTTGACAAGTGTGTGTGTGACCGAAAATTAGGCATGTATGTAACAAGTATATCACATTTTTCAGATCAACTTCATCTGTTCATTACTCTTTCAAATTTTTAAAAAGGGATTGTTAGTTCTAAATTTAACCTAATTATTTGACCCCACGATTTTCATTCCACCTTGTACTCTTGTAATTACTACTGTTAATATGGTTATTTCACTCCTGTTTTATAATATCATTTATCTAAAACAACCTGTAAATGTGTTTCATAGTTGGTTACTTCGTGATTATGAATATTCCTTCACAGTAGGTTATATTTGTTTACTCATTTTTCGTACATAATCGAGTTTCCAAAAGTTACAGATGAAACAGCTTGAAAATAACCCAATAATTATGGACTCATAACTATAGAGCCTGATGACGAAGTTACTGAAAAAATTTATTCGCTCAAACTTTCTTTGTTTTGAAAAAATATGTCTATAAAATTACTTCTTCTCGCAAGCATTTGATGGCTTTTGAAACTAAATGTGCATGTTGCATCCTATCGGTTGTTCTTGCATCACAAATGTTGTTTTTAAAGAGATTAGTTTGTAATGTCCAAAAGGAATACTAATCTGTAAGCTTTATTTCCATGAAAATCGTTCATTATGTCTATAGTTTCATCAACATTGAATACCTATTCAATATACATACAGACTTAGTATTATTATTATTATATTATTATTCAATATTATATTTTTGGTACAATATAGAATTCTTAGCATAAAGTGTTTCAAGAAGTTTCCGTTTCTTATTCCTTTATTGATCCTGACGATAAATACTGAGTGGTCAACAGTTAGAAGTTAACAGTTCAGGAATCGACATCTAAATAATGTACATTCTTTTCGGTGCATATTACCGGCAACCACAATGTCTTTGATTTAGCTTTTCCATAATTTGTTCAGTGAAAGGTCATAAACTTTTCATAAAGACACCTGAACAGGTTCTGCAATTAACAAACATAGCGATGTGTTGAAACAAACAAAGAACAGATAACTTGTTGAAACATCTATATGGGAGGATCAGATCCCTAAAGATGCGTTTACTCTTGTTATTATCAAAATATGTTGCGTTGTAGATCAAAGAAGATTACTAAAATGATCGCTGGTGTTAGATCAGTTATTCATAATTATTTAACAATGATGTTAATGGGATATAAGACATTGTCTTGAAATGACTGACAAGTCTTTTAATGAGTTGTTTGATTAGATTTTGTAAACTGTCTTATTGTCTTGAGACAGTAAGGACGTTTAGTTATCTCCTATTAGACTCCGCTTATTTTTCAATCTCACTACTTTCAGTTTTATAGTATATTTTAGCGACGGCACTTCATATGGAACGTTTTAATTTTGTATAATCAGTTAATATACATTTTATTTTCGTCCATAAGAAGTTCATCATGTTTAGTGTCAGTAAAACATGATAGTCAAATAAATGTAAATGAAGAAAAAAAAACATAAATGATGAATTTGATCTTTGTACTCTTATCTATTTGTGTTATTTTAAATATAGAAATAGGATAACATGTAATTAATAATTCAGTCTAGATAATGTTTGACATGATTAAATCAACCCTACTGACCTATATTTTCATGTTAAAGTATTCATTAGCATTTTCTTTTCAAAAAATATACTGTCTAATTGAATTTCTTGTTTGTAATGAATTGAGGTCGTATAGAAGATAATTGAGAATCTTATTATAGTATTATTATAAGTTCTTAAGATAAACACTAATTATTTTATTCAATCAAGGATTATTTCTGCCCATATTGAACACTTGCCAATATCCATATATCGAAAGGGAATTATTTTCTAAAATATGAAGTTCATCTCTTTATATTCTGATCCATATTTTCTAAAGTTTATTTATCCCCCAGACAATACGATGTCTTAACTATTAATTATATTTTATAAGTGGATATATCTATAAAACTATGAAAGATTAACATAACAGCGAACGTTAATCATATTTTGTATTAAACTGAACCGATAAGCTTTCCTTGACAATTCATGCTTTACCTAATTGATAAATTTTTTTTATTTTCTACAATCTAAGTCATTATAGGTTAGCGGGTTCAATCTCAGGTGTGAAGTACAGTTGAAAAAAAAATAGATAAATGCCAATTCGAAATAGTTATGCATTCATTTAGCATTTTCATCAACAGTCATGCATGTGGCTTTACGACGACTTTATGAATGAACTTTTATCGGTTGAGTGATCACTTAATACACCAGTCACGTATGCATATTAGCTACAAATCAGTAGCTCATTCCTTTCAGGACAACAAGGATTTTCTTGTTTATGAAATAAATACTTATTTTAGCGTTTCGCTTGGTCTACAGGGAAATGTCTTCCTTAATTAACGTCCTCATCAAATTTACTCTGCCAATATGAATTCTCATTTACAACTTTTTATCTTAACTGATCTAGTTAGTGAAGTAACTGAAACTGAGTATGAAATGACACCAAACATTTTGGCTACACACTTTTCCCTCTGGATTTAATTGTGGAAGCATCACCAAGAGCTAAGCTTACGCAAAATAACAATTATATTTTCCCAGTTAGTGTAAGCGCCAGTAGTAACCTAACAAAAATCGTTGACAAGCCATTAACTATTAGTGGGAAAATTCTAACACTTCAACGTTTTCTAAAGTATCTTTAGATGATGTTGATCTAGAAACAACAATATTAATACACTGGTCAAATTTAGTCCCAACACTTTCATCCTGATCATAATTGTATGGAGATTAGATAAGGATTTTATCTAGATTCCCTTCTTTTTAATTTCTGCAATTTAAGTGAATTTCAATTGATTTGCTATTCGCTCGTATATATTTAAACAATTTTATCCACACTTCCAGAATTCTTGATATCTGACACAATTTCTAATAGTATATTACGCAATCATCATATTGTCTTTGGTTCGACATTTAATATGGTTACGAATTGTGTTGTTATAACTCTCACTCAATTTTATCTATATCTACTAAGCTGACTAATATCAATTCTGTGTAATCTGAATTTTATGAAAAATTTCAGTGTTTGCATATAGCAACGTTTTACTCAACTGTATCTATATAATGAAATTTAATCAAATTAGTTATAGTGTGGTTGTCGGGCAATACGGCTAATTTTGTGTTTCCTATGACATCACCTTAATAATGTACTTTTTTAAATTTTTAATACTAAATAATTACAAAGTCTTTTATGTAACTAATTTTACATAATTTGTTGTTATTTTATTTAGGTCATAGTTTATCCAACAAAGAATACCGTTAAAAATACTGGTGCAAGTATTATTATAATCGGTAGTTGGCTATTTTCATTAATAATGGCTAGTCCAATGTTTATTTTCACATCCGTTAGTGTGGATACTATCCGACCGAATGGACATATATGCAGTGCTAGTACAATACAAAGCGAATGGCTTCGTCAAAGTAAATACATTTATGGTATTATTACAATTGTTTTCCAGTATTGTTTACCATTAACAATGGTCAGTTATGCATATATACGTATTTGTTTAAGAATACGCCAACGACAGTTCAATGTAATACGTAAACCTACTCCAACAGTCATAGCTTCCGAATTAATATCAGGCAACCAATTGGATTTTGTTGAAATTGAACCAGATTGTAATTGCATGGATAATAAATTGAAACCAGACAGTCGGTTAACATTAACTTTACCATCTAATAATTTACCAGATTCTTCTACAGGTAGCTGTAAAAATCGTGGTTTTCCTCCTGCACGTTGTTATAAACTAGCTGTATCGCCTACATCAACATCGTCGTGTGAAAACAATTTTAAACAAAAGATAGAAAATTCCAGATTTAAGCTAATTCAACGACGCCAGACTCGAACAAATACATTACTTGCATCAATTACACTTTTATTTGTATTAGCTTGGTTACCTTTACACATTTTTAATGCCGTTATGGATCAACGTGAATCAAGAATACTTAAAGAACCATTCGATCTCACCACACTACCACAGCCTGATATATTAAATAAAAATATTACAGAGAATTCTCTTTTCGATGAGACATATAAACTTTTAAACTCAAAGACGAACACATTCACATTATTACCAGAGCATAATCATACAGAAACAATCATAAAACAATATGGTATTGGTAGGAAAATTACACTTATACATTCATTTTGTTTATTATGTGTTCTTGTATCGGCTTGTGCGAATCCTGTTCTCTATGGTTGGTTAAACGAAAACTTTCACAGAGAATTTATCCTTATGTTTCCAATGTTATTTCGTTCAAAAAAACAAATTTCATCAGTCACACTAGGCATTGATCATAATTACGCTAGTGTTATACAATGAACAATGGTAATTATGATAAGTATCGTTTACAGAAATATTCTAAAGCCTATATTAAATTAATGAATGTATATTATATTGTCTTAAATGAGCTGTGAACGTGAGGCACAATGTATTTTATGAATTCATATTTCCTTTTTTAATACTAATCAATTTGAACTATCAGGTATTCATTGTTGATTGACAAGAAGTGTACATAGTTTTTTTAAATATGATGTACAATATTTTGATGATAATTGGTTAAAATATCCACAGAGATTTGATCTTTGTTGTCAAGTTTTTTCAAATAAAGTTCCTGTAACTTATAGAGATTTGAATTTTGTTAATAAGAGAATATAAAGAAGTAAATATCACCACTGTACATTACAATAGAAATATGTTTTCGTTCGTTGTATATTTTTTTATTTTTTTAATACTTTCGTCTACTAAAAATGCAAGTTGGGTGAGATAAATCGATTGAGACAGTTATGTTTTCGGTTTTTAGACACTATCTAGTTCACCGTAATAGAAGTTTGATACGACTGTAAATTAAACATAATTCGTTACTGATGTAAACATAAATCATCAAAATAACAGTTCTTTGGGTTCGAAGAATAGAAAGTCGGCAAATTCCCATAGTTGTACATTTACCAATTATTAGAATTTAGAAAAATGCTTGAAAAAACATTTCATATTTTGACTTCAGCGAATTTGGTAACTTGGTCTCATAATTCATATAATCATGATATTTCCGATAATATAACATGTAGGAATTTATCTGACTATTATTAGAAATAAAGATCTTTTGACAAAAATCTTTATTCTGTCTACAAAAGTGGAGATTAAAAATAACTACAACACATCAGAGATGTTGACGGCATGAAAAGTTGATATGTTTCAGGTCAAAGAGATAGGCAGTGAATTGGTCGACGTTCCCAAAAGTATTTTAGGCGTGAACTTGAAAATTATTGAACTGTTTCTTATCTTTTTTATTTGCGCATCCCGTTCTGAATATTAAATGATATTATCTGAATGAAATGTCAGCTAAGAGCAACCACTGAAATAATGCCTTAATTTTAACTGAAAATTATTGGAACGACATTGGTCGTGTTATATCTTCAAGAAACAGTAATTCTTCTCTCTATTTCATCTTACTTAGTTGGGTTACCATTTATAGGAAGACTCGGATTCTAAGGTGCACTCATTGATTATATATCCGTTACCGATGACGCATTGACCGTGAGATAAGGGCAGTAGTTATGTTGATATCTACTGGTTCAGGAAGAAGTTTATGGGTATCTGAGATTGAATACAATAAAAACGATTCCCCTAAGAGTATTTCTACAACTTCAGCCTCCCTCAAACCCTCTTTAAAATAATAGATCAATTTTAGCTTCTTCTCTTAATATATCACAGAAATATTATTGCATTAGTGTGTGTTGTACACCTTGATTAATAAATCATGGTTATATGATTACATTTATTCCCAGTTCGATCAATATGTTGTTTTGTAATTCTATATGTTTATAACCATAACACATAAATCCTAATACTTCATTCTATGCTCATTTATTTACCTGAATTTATAAAACTTCTTTTATCCGAATTATTCATTATTCACTAGGCCTTAGACAAAGTTCTTGATCTGCAAAATGTAGCATTTAATCTTCATAAATGTTCACCACAAATCTATACTTCATTGAATACAAAGGTACATTGTAAATCTAAATAACTAGGGGATCGTTTAGCCAATGAATGTGAACTTTTTAAAGTATATTTACTTTGTTTGAAAGATAGATGTATATACTGGATCAAATTGTTATTTCTATTCAAGATACATTTTTTCGTTATCCTTTTTACACTATTTTTTAGTCAGAACATCGGAATCGATTGCATAAACAACTGATTGTTTCAGTCACGTCTGATTTCTTTTATCATATCAAATGTAATAGTCTTATTATTTGTCGTAGAAATTATTTTAGCAGAAGATTACTAACAATGAATATTCGATATGGACTAAGGAATATCGGAGATCGACGATGTAAATATTATAAAATATGGTGTTTGAGTTTCTTATAGAAATTATGGTGCACTTTATATATATTGTATCTTAATTATTCTTTTCCAGTTAAGTTTAACAACAGTGAATATGAAACTATGCCTTAATGATCATTAGACAAGTAGAAGCTGAAGTAAATGAACTAGTATATGTCATCTTTATTAAATACTGGTAATAGCTGAATTACCACCGCAATTTTAGGTTTTAGGTTGGACCACTTTCATGTTGGGCTTGCATCTGAAATTGAATTAAGATTATATCACTTTCGCAATTGATTGAATTTAGAAAATATGAACGACATGATTCTAAGTCAGTTAATAATAAGCTCACCACAAAAGCTTCTAGTTATAGGTTTAGTTTAATATATGTTCATTGGTGCTCATGTTTATGAAGTTTATAATATGATTGCCAGCTTTTTATTAAATCATGCTCATTGTTGATGTTCCAAGTTATATTTTCTGAAATGAACACTTCTTTTAGTTATTATTTTTAGTCGGTTAATCAACACTCATAAATTCAATTGTATTTATTTTAATGATGAATAAACAAGTGCTGATATTTAAAGAATGGTAGTTAGTTGTAAAACCGACAGACATGAGAAAAATGAACAACAATTGGATAGAACTAGAAAGGAAGGCCCAGAACAGAATGGGTTAGAAAACGCTGGTCGACGTTCTTTGCTCCATCGGGAGTACCAGGTGTACGTAAGTAAGTCAGTTGTGAAAATTGTTGATTCAATGAAAAATTTTAGTTAAACACGAAATTAATTCATCTTCAAACCAAAATTTTATCTCAAAAAAGTTTATTATAATTTCATTTAAACATTTTGTCAAATTTTAATAATTGAACTTAAGTATAAAACAAATCTCTAATCTGTTAAAATTATAATGTAATTCAATACCAACTTCACTGAGTTTTCTTTTAATAACCTCAGTTTATATTATAACTATGGATTTATATTTATTAGTAATACAATTATGTTGTTTGTTTTCGTAATAGATGGAAAGTTCAGGCTTAATTTGAAACCATTATTATTATTATCAGAAGGGGGTTTTGTTGAGGTTTTTAGTAAATTTTTACATACAGTTGAAATAATGAGTCAATTGAAGCTTGACCACCATGGAAAACCAGGAAGCACTGAGCAGCCGGATCAAGGATGCGCACTGCTGAGGAGTCTCACAATTGGACGAAACGTTCGTCCAGTGCTCCCAGGTTTTCCATGGTGGTCTAGCTTCAATCGATTCATGATCTCAACTATATTATTATTACTTTAATAGACAGATAAGCATTCTCTATACATAAGAATTGTGCATTTTTCAATAAAGTCATACCTATATAAAGTTATAAGTAAACGTATTTCACCATATTTTCATTTAGCTAACGTTTGCTTCAAGATTTATAAACTTATGTATATTAGTACTAAGAATATTGATACAGTACTTGAGTTGATTGATCCCTTTGAAATATCCCAATTTCTTCAGCATGAATTAATTTACATTATGATGCATTATTATTATTGTTATTATTATTATTGTATAACCCTTTATTAACACACACAATGCACAAGGTTTTTATATGTACAACGAACAACTGTCGAAGAGCTCACTTTACTTTAAATCTATTCTGGAAACAGAAGATACTATAGATATGTTTCAAATAAATCTAATAGTATTTACGTTTTAAAATACAAAGAAATAAACGTTAGATCAACGGTTATCTATAAAATTAAAGTACACACATTTAAATCATTCGATATAAATTTCTGATGTATTCGCTTAACTTTCCTTTTATTAATGAACCACCAAAATATCTCCATGAGATAATTTCTTTTAAGCTGTTAAAAATTTCATCAGTTGGTTGATTCTATAAAATAGACATAGGAAATAAAGTAAAATAAGGTTGACTTAGTGATATAGATAAAGAAAATATTCACTTTAAGGAAACTACATTCCTAGATCTTACCAATTTTCTAAATATCCATAACCTATTTTGAAAAAATATTTCCTAATTAAATCTACATTGGTTTGCACTCAAATATACAGTGTAGGGCCGCGATTCGTTAATCGTATAGTTCGATAACCGTTATAATTCTAATCTTAACGGCGCGTAAAATCAGAAGACAAAGGATAGCAGCGACTGCAGTTTATTGTCAAATAACTCAGGTTCGAAAGCTAACAACACCTGAGCGAATATGAACGAGTGAGTGAGCGGCAAGCGAGAGAGCTAGTGAACAGGCGAACAAGCGAAGGAAACGAACGAGGAGCAAGCGAGCGAATAGCAAGCAATTACATAGGCAATTTATAGTCAAATTAAATAAGGGCACAACAAAGCGAAACAAAGGCTGATAATAGTATTTGCGTGCGTACATATATGGGGGGAGTATGAGTCATCGAATGGTATTTAAGCAGTCAAGATTTCGGCTACAGTGTCATGTGCTCTAGTGGTATAGCAGTGAAAAGAATATGCAAATTGTTACTATCCAAATAACGATGTCTGTTAAGTAAGTTATAAAAAGGGCTTAACCAAAATTGGCTAGGATCGAAATTGATTGTAGGATGGTTGCTATATAACTCCCCCCTGCAAACAAAGATATATGAAAAAATGTCTGTGTTTGCATAAAGTACAGTAAATTGAATAGCGTAGTTACAATCAATCGCAGATATGGGCTTGTACAAAATTAGAATGAAGTTAATGTGTATTTAGTTCGTGCCCGTCCGTTAGGCTATTCGAAATAGCGGTAAGATATAGAAGGAATATTGTATCGCTTCGAAAAAAAATTACACGTATGAGCGTAAAGGAACATAAGTTTTGTCGAGTTTAATAGCGTATAACATGAACTTAATAATCCATATGTATATAATGAAGAGGAAGAATTATAATTAATATTCAAAGTAGCAGAAAATTATCAGTAAAAGATTGTAGAGACATAGCGTTGCGGCCATCTTACTCTGCGACCAGATTTTGTCGTTATCGGAGTCTCTTCTTTTTAGTGCGTTAGCGTCGTTGACTCTTGAGACTTGTGGTTCGTCGGTGTGATCGTCTTCGAGAGACTTGTACTTGTCGATTGAAAATCGCTATCAATGAAAGCTGGTTTCACTCGATCGATGCTGATTACATCTGTCCTCCCAGATTTTTTCTACCGTAACTGTCTTATCTGTCTTCGTAATCACTCTGAATGGACCTTCATAGTTCGGTTGCAGAGGTGGTTGTATATTGTCTCTTCTGATGAATACGTGCGTGCTATTATGTAGTTGCTGAGGTACGAATACTCGTCGCTGTTGTAGTCTGGGAAGTGCTATTTTTAAATAGTTCATGTGTTTCTTCAGGCGTTGGAGGTAGTTGGCTACATCAGTCGGA